AGCCCTGTCCACTTCCAGCCCCTGCTGTAAAGCGGGGCAGAGCGGACCTCAGAGACAGCCTAGGCCTGGGTGGACTCTGAGAGCGCTGACCAAGCAAATGGGGAGCCACTGGGCCTGCTTGAGCTGGAGCAGATTTCTGTGGAATCAACCCTTACTGGGTAGCTCTTGGGTGTCATGAGACTTCAGTTTTTCCATTGCTGTTTCCTTTGCTACAAAGAATCTCTCTGCCTTTTGGCCACCTTTTGAAGTTACCGGCAGGGCGTAGCTGCATATCCGTACTTTTATAGGCTGCCTAATGACCTGCTTAATTATTTGCTTTCTTTAGGGCTAGATTTGCAGCTGATAGGCCCTGGGAGGCTGGGCTCTGAAGCAGTCTGGTCTCCCTGATGGGTCCAGCAGAGTTCCAGGCATCTTCATCACTGAATTCCAAGAGACTGTCTCCCTGGGGCACCCAGGCTGGAGCGTGAAGCTTTATTTGTGTTTTATTTATTCATTAGATTGGCAGAGGCCTTCTCTCCAGGGAGCTCTAGGTGCCCAACATGAAATTAGCATCTACATTTCCCAACAAAGTCGACTGGTGACTGGTTTGGAATCCTTTGCAGCCTTGCCTGTGTTCTGAGGTTTAAACAGCGCTGGAAACGAAGAACACTTAAATGACAAAAGCCTACCAACTTTTCCACCCATGCTCTTGGCAGAAATTGCTATTTCAGTATAGATTTTTTTCTTTCCTTCTGAGTATGGGCACAGTCTCTGAATTTTTCTTAATCTAGTGTTCAAGGCAGCAACTGGGGTCTGTCCAAGATATTGTTTGAGTTGGGATCTCTCTGCCGTTCTTCATCTCAGTCCTTCACATTTCCAAAGGCACTGGGAAGTGGTGACAAACCTTTCTTAGACTTCTCTGTGGAGTACAGAGCTGGCCAGAGTCCACGTAGGATATTCACTCTCCAGAGAGTGTCTTATGAGTGTATTTGGTAAAATGCACACTGAAGTTACATCTGTGCATGCGTTTTTTGGACTCCTTTTAATCCTCACGTGTTTGCATCTAGCATGCCTCGGGCAGTGTCTGGCATAACAGGCACTAAATCAAATGTGTACAATTCGCTGTGATGAGCATGGGGGGTTCATTCATCAACTTTTTTTCCCCCTTGCTGTAGCCCACTTACTTCTTTACCTCGAAATTAGATTATGTAGAAATCCAGGTCTACATAAAAACAGAGCTTCCCTGAATTCTTGACTGTTTAGTTCTTATTTTATCAGGAACTCCAAGAGAATAAATTTTATTGAAAGTGGTATTTCTCGTCTCCCTCCCTGCTTCCTCCTCTGTCCCTCCGTCTCTGTGCATTGCTATGGATTCTATTTTCTGGTTGAATTTGACACCTAATAGTCATCAGATGATTGCATCCAATTAGCAGCTATTATATTCTTCAGTTACTTTCTGTTTGGACATGAGTTTATTGATCTGGTAAGATTTCATTCTTCAGAAACATAAACAACATGCCATTTAATTCAGCCTCAGTGCTGTTTCTAAGCACCAGGAAACAGGCATTTAAAGAGGCAGTGTAAGGGAGGGAGAGGATGAGGGAGGAAGGCTATCTATTACCTCTTTCGAAGAAGAGGGGGAAGACATCGGGTTAAACCTTGATCGCTATCATGTCACCTTTGGACTTTTATTAAAACTGTTTGACAGAGACGTGTTGGCAGATGGAGTAGGAAGATAAATGGGCCTGTGTGAATAGGTTTAATATCAAAAGTGGATAGGAGACCCGGCACGTTTTCCCCATCCAGAAATTGTTCACGTCCGCAAGATTTGCAGGTTGCTGCTGGTGATCCTGTCTGGCTCAGGGGGCCAAAAGGTGAACACGATTGAGGTACCTTCTGCTATGAATATTTCACAGCCTGAGTATCCCTTTTTCACTTGGGGCTGTGTGCTGACTGAGGGCTTCTTCAGGATGAGTCCTCAGTTGACTGATGAATACAAAACGCCTCTCTGAACAAAAGGCATTCAAGATTCGCTGAAGACAAGACAACCTACTTTGGTTTCTGTGTCTGGTACCGGGGTATCAGCGGAGATAAAACACTGAGTGACAGGGAAGCGAAATACAGAATAACACAATCTATTGTTCTCCCATTGACTGTAAGTATAATGGGAAAGTTAGCGAGTCACCGTAATGTCAGGGACCGCTGTGAACTTGGGAGAACTCAAGGATCAGAAAGTAACATGAAGCAAGGAGGGAAATGCAGATAATATTGGGTTACTGAACATTCTCAAATTGTACTGAAACGCATCCCATCCCTTTGGAGGGGGCATGTTTTTGACAAGGAGGACAATGGGAAGGAACTGGCAGCGGTAACAATATCACCATTTTCTTTTACTACGGGCCGTAACGTGAACTTCTTAGAAGACACCTTCTTTCACCACGGCTTTGTTGTCCAGTCTATTGAGGAGCCCAGAGACCAAAGTCCCTGCCTTGTTCCGGGGCCCGTCGAAAACCAAGGAACCTGGTTCTGCCAGCCAACGCCAGCTGCTCTGCTGTGAATCACAGAGCAGGTTTGCAGCCCAGGGCGGAGGAAAGGAACTGAGAGGGAATGCGAGAAGCAGAGAGGGAACAGGCAGGGTGAAGAATTTGGAGCATGGGAGTGAAAGAGTAGGAGAGAAAAAACGAAGGTGGTGGAGGAAAGAAACAGAATTTTCATGGTGGGGAAAGAATGGGAAGAGACTGTGTATGCCATTCCCAGGTCTGAGTAAAGTTCCCCTCCAACACAATCAAACAAAACAACAGCAAAAAGAACTGAATCACCTTTGGAGTGATTTTCTTGGAGCCAGAAATCTACGCCTGGATTAACTATTTTCTGGGGGGAAAATTTAGCTAATGCTTAGTAACATTTTTAGAATCTGTGACATTCCCACACTAAAACATCCTGTCCCAAACACATGCGATGAGAAAACACCCACTTACAACTCACAAGAATGCTGATGAAGGCTATGAACTCTCTCTTGTAGATAAATGAACATACAGATATCTAATTTTGCACACAAACTCTGGGCTCACACACTCCCGAAGTCCATTTATAAACCTCTCAGAATGCCACAGACATAGGTTCAGAATTGCTATTCCAGAGTGTCTAACAAAGACCTGGCATAGAATAAGTGCTGAATAAACTCTTACAGCTTTGAATTATGCAAGTATTCTGGTCAGCTGAATATTCTAGTTGGCTAAAGTGTACCGCATGTGCCTTCACAACTGATTGTCAAGGGACTAGAGATAAGTGCAATGTTTTCAATATCAAAAGCATACTCATTGCAATAAAAACCTTTATGGTTTTGGATGATCCAGAAGGCAGATTTTCATGATTGCACGCCCCCTTTTCATAGTAGATGAAAAGCCCAACTGTTGTTCAAATTAATCTCAGGTCAGATGGACCATTACTGAGCTTTAGGCTTGTTTATATATAAAATAGTGTTTCTTTCCAATGCCATCTCTTAATTGGGTACATGAAGTTTTTTTTAGGTGTCTGGATTCAATTTGGCAGTTTCTTAAACTCCAGTCTATGAGAGTTTTAAGGAGGTAAAATATATTGGTATTTCCTGAAGGAGGAAATTCTAGAATTGACCATGCTACTGCTAAAACCTTTCTTGAGACAGTTCATTTAGGAAGACTGGTTCCCATGGGACACACCTCTTAGAGTTAGTTTAGTGTGTTAAAGAGATTTATTTCCAGACAAATTGGCTTATAAATATGAACCAGCCTGTGAAAGGCAGTCCATCGGACAAATCTTGAGGGAACTATTCTTTCTACTTTAGGGACTCATGTTATGAAAGATCTAATAGGTAGTTCCTATTCCTACTACCAGCTTTGTGTATTTTAGCTAACACTGAATGTGACCATTCCTCCTAATTTACTTAATACAGCAGTCCTCAAGGGCTTGTAAACCCATAATTGGACAGTTAAGATTAGAAGGTTAAGAAGACTGACACAGGGAGAGAGGCTTTATAACTGTGAGGGACATTTTATTGGCTGAGGATTTCTGAAAGCACCATTTTAATTATCTCTTGAGCAGCTTCCCTTGTCCTATCAGCCATCAAGAGGTAAGAGATGAGATGAAGAGTTACTCATGTTGAATAAGCGTGGACTTCATCCTCCAAGTCTTCATTAAAGAAGGACTTGTTGGAATGAATGAAGAAGATGAAGTTGTAGTCAGGGTAACATGAAATAAAAATACAAAAGTCCACTCAAGGACTTTAATTTAAATCCTAATGCGAGCCTCTTCAAGTGCATTGTTTAAAGTGTCCTGAAACATTGCAATTTTCTCTTTATTTCTGGGAATTTTAGTTACTGTTAGCTTCTGACTGCTACTTACACTAAAATCCTTTAGAAAACACGCAAAGGCTGTGTTCTTCAGGGGGAGAAGAACAGGGAATCTGTTCTGTGGTGTTTGTAGGAGATGGAGCCATCACTGGCTGGAAGCTGGGAAGCATGAATGCCAGCACTCAGGGCGGGGGAAGAGTTGGTGTGAGACCAGCAAGTTGGTCACTAGAAGACAGTCTACAGCAGGGGTCCTCAAACTTTTTAAACAGGGGGCCAGTTCACTGTCCCTCAGACCGTTGGAGGGCCAGACTATAGTTTAAAAAAAAACTATGAACAAATTCCTATGCACACTGCACATATCTTATTTTGAAGTAAAAAAACAAATGGGAACAAATACAATATTTGTATTTGCATGTGGCCCGCGGGCCATAGTTTGAGGACCCCTGGTCTACAGCAAAGAATGCTTTAGCTCACCACAGTTTCCAACCTCTCCATGGTGGTCACTTCTTCCCCACCTCCAAGACCTAGATCTGAAACTCTTTATAGGTCGGATGAACCTCAGACTCAGCCAGCAGCCGCTGTCAGAACAGGAAGTTGGGTAATCCTCACAACAACCTTACGATGTAGATTAGAATTTGTGAGCTCCGTTCTACAGATGAAGACACCGAGGCACAGAAAGTCTGAGTAACTTACCCCAAGTCACACAGGTAGCAGATGACGGAGCAGGGATTTGAATCCAGGTAGTCAGCCTCTACCCGCCATGTTCTGATTCCACTTTGCCTTGCTTCTGTAGGATTAAGTGAGAGATTTATTTGTGTATAAATCAGATTAATATCCTATTATGCACTTATAAAACATACAGAAATCAGAAATTACACAGAAGAAACGATAAAAATATATAAATTCAAATAATTATCCCTACTCTTCAAGAGACTGTCTTGCTCACTCTACATTGTAGACCACTGAGAAGCTCACATTATTCTATCTGGCCCACAAAGACTGAAGAGAGAACCTTGACCATCAGATTACCTCACGTCATCACAATGATTTACTCTTTATCCCTTCAATCCAGGTTCTAATCCATGGAGCCTGAACTTGGAAGGAAGACCCTATTCTCCCTTACATGGGAGTAAATGAACAGATGTATTACCCAGTAACTACACCACATCTGGCTAAACCCAGCCAAGCCAAATGGCATTAGGCTGGCTGCTAACTTCTGGGGCCTTCTGTCCCCATGAGACTCTGGGTGATGGAGTGGTACCAAGATGGGGCTGCTGCCTTAGGCTTCATCATTCAAAGATGGAGCTGTGACAGGGGCTCCCTGTAGCTTAGTCTCCCAAACCCCATGGCTCACTCAGGCATGATCTCCCCTTCTCCCTGAAGCACCTTCCCACTCCTGGACCATCCTGGCCACTCAGGAGGGAGGCATGTGCAGAAGCCAGAGAAGGGAGGTGGGGGAAGGCTGCCCCACTGGGCTGAAGGGCAGCTGTTTATATTGTAATTAAGGTTTCACAGCATAAACTGAAATGTAGCTCGACTATTCCAACAAGGCACTGGAGGTAATTACACTGCTAGAGGCGGACTCCACTGCCAATTATTTCCCTCCCTAATTGAATAACTTAGGCCACATTGTAGTGAGACAGGCAAAGGGAGAGGCTACTTTCAAATATGGATGTTCCTTCAGAGGCCTCCAAACAGCTCAAAGCTTAACACACCATTTTCCTAACATCCTTTCCCAGGAGTGTGGTATAGAGGATAAGAATGGAGGTCCTCGCCCTGACCGGTTTGGCTCAGTGGATAGAGCGTCGGCCTGCGGACTCAAGGGTCTCAGGTTCGATTCCGGTCAAGGGCATGTACCTTGGTTGCAGGCACATCCCCAGTGGGGAGTGTGCAGGAGGCAGCTGATCGATGTTTCTCTCTCATCAATGTTTCTCACTCTCTATCCCTCTCCCTTACTCTCTGTACGAAATCAATAAAAATGTATTTTTTTTTAAAAAAAGAATGCAGGTCCTGGAGTCCCAGTACTTCCTGGCTTGGGCAGATTACTTAAACTCTGTGAGGGTTCCCTCATCTATAAAATGGGTCTAATTGAAATATAGACTTCATGCACTATTGTGGGGATTAAGTACATATAATAACCCCAGCACACAGAACACATTGAATGATTCTGGCTTAAGGAAATGGTGGCAGTAGAGTGTGCACCTGTAGAGGGGCAGGTCCTTTTATCTTCCCTGAACAGATAGGTAAACGGAGGCAGAAAGCACACCTAGTCTCACGTGGAATAGCACTAGATAAAATGATGCTTTCTTGGCTCAAAAGGAGTGATCTCCTTTGAGTTATAGAGGAAATGGCCTCCCCCAAGAAAGTTGGACAGATCTTTAAGATATATAGACCCTGGAGGGAAAACCAAGATGGGGGCGTAGGTAAACACCGGTACTCACAGCCTCCTACAGCCACATTAAAATCACAATAAAAATACAAGACAACCACCATTCAAAGCCACCTAAAATCTGGCTGAATGGAAGTCCTACAACTAAAGAAGTAAACAAGAAAGCACATTGATACTGATAGGAGGGGCGGAGATGCAGAACGAGCTGGTCCGACACACATGTGGGGCATGTTTTTAATCAGGAGTGACATCTCTGCTGTGGAGTCCTCCATGAGGAGCAAGGGTCTCAGTCCCAAACCAGACCCCCAGCCCAGGGTTCCAGAGCTGGGAAGAGATGTCCCCATAACTTTGGGCTGTAAAAGCCAGTGGGGACTATGCCTGAGTGACATGGAGGCTGCTGGAAACCCAGGCAGTACTCTTAAAAGGCCAGCACATGGACTTATACAGTCCCACTTCCTCTGAGCTCCAGTGCCAGGCAGCAGCATTGGGGGATCCAGGGACACACAGAGAGGAACTAGATTGTCTGGCACTGGGGCAGAAACTTGGGGGTGGCTTTCTCCCAGAGTTGGTTGCTCACAGGGATCATTGTTCCTATACTGGGACTTCTCCTGTTGCAGAACTGAGTTGCAGACATATCTGAGCTTCCATCAGCATGGCCCACACTATTTGCTCTGCCCTGGTGATTCACTGAGACCCCACCCCATACAATTTGCAACCCTACCCAAGCTGTTTGCAGTGGCTTTTCCATATGAATGGCCTGTCCTGGCTCAGGCTTCAGACCTTGTTAAAATCTCTCAAACAAGCACCAGCTGGTGTCAGCATGTCCCAAACATATCTAAAAGGCTCAAGACCTGGCACTAGCACCAGCCTGCCTTGCTTCACAGCTGGGCCTTGCCTGGGCATTTCTGAGCCCAATATAAGAAGCAGCCATTTGAAAATCTCTCTGTAACTCCTGCCAGGTGGCCCCAGGCAGTGGCTGACCATGCACCTCCCAGGAGGTCCCAGAACCAGTACACCCAGTGGGCAACTTTAAACCATACCAGATTAGAACTCTACACATCCACAAGCAACACACTCAAGTGGCAGACTCAGCAAGTACCAAAGCCCCACTGAAGCAAGTCCTGCTCCATAGGGGTGTTTCCTGCACAGCAACTCTCCCACTGTAGTCAGAGCTGGTCCTCACAGCCAATTGGCCTGGAGGTCAATTCCTCCAAGTGAATGCCAATAGCAATCAAGGCTCAACTACAACAAGACTGTGAACACAGCCCACACATGGGTGCACCTAGAGTGTCCAGCTTGGGTGAATGGGGAGGCTGAGCCACTGTGCCCTACAGGATAACTACTAAGCAAGGTCACTGCACCAATTCCAGGAAACAAAGCAGCCACCTAATACATAGAAATAATCACAGGGAAGGAGCCAAAATGTGGAGACAAAGAAACATGTCACAAATGAAGGAAATGGAATGGAAGCAAGCAAACTACTGGATACAGAGTTCAAAACAATGGTTTTAAGGTTACTTAAGGATTTAACGAGAGCTTCAAGGGACTTCCTGAGACTGTCAAGGATCTTCATGAGCATTTCAAAGACATGAAAAAGGACCGGTCAGAAATTAAGCATACACTAACTGAAATAAAGAATAATTCTTAGGGATTCAACAGTAGAGTAGATAATTCTGAGAATCAAATCAACGATTTGGAACATGAGGAAGAAAAAAATACCCAATCAGAAGAGCAAAAAGAAAAAAGAATTAAAAAATATGAAGACAGTGTAAGAAGCCTCTGGGACAACTTCAAGCATACCAACATTTGCAGTGTGAGGGTGCCAGAAGGAGAAAAGAGAGAGAGCAAGATATTGAAAACTTATTTGAAGGAATAATGACAAAAACTTCCCCCACCTGGTGAAAGAAATAGACTTACAAGTCCAGGAAGCACAGAGAGTCCCAAACAAGAGGAACCCAAAGAGGACCCCACCAAGACACATCATAATTAAAATGCCAACAGTTAAAGACAAAGAGAATCTTAAAAGCAACAAGCGAAAAACAGTTACCTACAAGGAAGATCCCATATGACTGTCAGCTGATTTCTCAACAGAAACTTTGCAGGCCAAAAGGGAATGGCAAGAAATATTCAAAGTGATGAAAAGTAAGGACCTACAACCAAGATTGCTCTACCCAGCAAAGTTATCATTTAGAAGTGAAGGTCAGATAATGAGCTTCAAAAACAAGAAAAAGCTAAAAGAGTTTATCACCACCAAACCAGTATTACATGAAATGCTTAATGGTATTTTTTAAGAAGAGGGAGAAGAAAAAGAAAGATAAAAAATATGAACAATAAAATGGCACTAAATACATCTCTATCAACAATTGAGTCTAAAAATCAAAATAAACCAACAAGGAATCTAATGAACAAAATAAACTGATGAATCAGAGGCATGGAAACATGGAACAGATTGACGAATCTCAGAGGGAAGGGGGGAGGGAGGGCGGGAAAAGATTAACCAAAGATCTTACAGGCATATATGCATTACCTATGGACACAGACAATAGGATCTTAATGAGCACGTCAAAGGCATGAAAAAGGACCAGTCAGAAATTAAGCATACTAACTGAAATAAAGAATAATTTATAGGGATTCAACAGTAGAGTAGACGATTCCAAGCAAAGGCCCGGGGCAGAGTGGGAACCTCCAATTTCCCCCACTGCTCCCCAGGGTGAGGGTCAATTCCCTCCCAGAGTTAACCACACACTCCCTTCCCAATGTCCAACCCCTTGGCCATTGACATCACAGTGTTTGAAACATCTCAACACATTGTATGCGGGAAACGTATTTATACGTTTTATGTTGACTGTACGTAGTAGAGCCACCTGTTACTACCCACAAACAATGTGTCAAAAGCCAGAGATAGGAATTCTCAAAATTTGGGGTGCATATGAGTCTCTTGCAGAACATGTTTAAAAATGCAGGCTCCATGGCCATACTCCCAAGGATTCTGATTCCCTGGGTCTAAGACGAGGTCCAGGAACCTGGAGTTTAGCAATTTAACCAAGTTTCCAGGTGTTTCTGATTTCAGTGGTTCAAGGATCAGGCTCTAAGAATCACTAAAAAGAGAACCAAGGATGAACAGCAGAGGCCTCTGAAACTCCATCTTGTGGCCTCAGTTCATTGCCTTAAATTTTCTGAACTTCAGTTTCCTTAAATTCGAATGCAGATCATAGTATTTACCTTAGAGGGGTTTTGTGACAATTAAATGAGATGGTGCATGGAAGGTGCTGAGTACAACGCCTGGTACATATAAAGTGCTCGGTCATGTTAGTAATTGTAAGCATTACTGCTGCTGTTGTCATTAATACTGAAATAAAGCCAAGCCCAATGTTACTCATGAGGTAAATGACGATAGC